CTGCTGCTGCCTAGCCCCCGGCCAGGGCCAATCCGGAGTCAATCCCTTTCCAATTCGATTCAGTCGAATGGCATCGAACCGAGCCCGGTCAGCTCCTACCTCGTCCTCCCAAGAACGTAGCCCCCACCACGCGGTGCTTAAAGGTTGGTTTTTATTAAAGAACAAAAGTCGCTTACAGAGGTTCCCCCCCCCAGAAAGGGGGAGGCGTTGGTTTGAATTTCTCCTTTCCTTGGGTGTTACCGTGAGTCGCCAACCGCCCTATAAAGTGCTGTCACATCCATCATCGACAAAGGGAAATAAATATACAGCATCAATAAATAAAAATGCAACAAATACTGGAGCAAGAGAAATCACAGTACATTTATATCCATTGCACATAGCCACTTTTTTCCAGTCTAGACACGGGGGGGGTCAAGAAGTGGACAGACAAGGGGGCATGGATGGGGGCAGACACGGAGCAAGGAGAAGGCTGTTCGCACAGTGCCTCGATCCGGATTCACAGCGGGCCGTGTCTGTTTGGGTGTTTGGTTTGAATTCGCTTTCGGTCCATTGAAACTTTCGCGGCCGGCTTGCCCTGATGCGCAGGCGGCTGTATTTACACTGCTAGAAACGCTGCGCCCCAGAGCTCCGCAGTCCGGTATTTACACGGGGCTCCTTACCAATGGCTCGTGGCTATTTACACACCGAAGTCGCATGGCTTTGGGGCTGGATGGGGGCGGGGGGTTGGCTCATTGGGGCAGCAAGGGCGGCTTGAAGGAGCAGTTTCCCGTGCAGTGGCGAGGAGTGAGCATTTTGCAGGAGAAGTGGTGGAGCGCGTCGTGGGCCTCTGCGAAGCAACAGATAATTCGAATTCGTTACTCCGGGCGCCCGCGTTCACACCGGGCTCGGCTCCCCCGCCCGCGACACAATTTCGAGCCTCTTGTAAATCGCCTGGATCGCGTTTCCTTTCAGACCCACCCCCTGCCCCTCCGCGCACCGGGTTAAATGGGCCCCACTTTTAGCCATTTCGTTGCAAACCCTTCAGCGCCTAACACGGCTTTGCCAAGCGATCGCGTCCCCCCCCCGCCTTGCTTTAGGCGAGATACCTTTCAACTTCTGCTGGATCGCGTAGCGGGCTTTCCTCTCCTGGTCCAGCTCGTTACACAAGGTATCTGGGGGGGAGGGAAACTGGATCAGAGCTGGGACCCCGCCCCTCGCGGGGTAGAAATCGCCGCCCCAGATAAAACCATTCCTGGGAGTTTGGGTTTCACACCGCCCCCAAACCAACGCGCTGGCTTCTGACTGCAACGCCTAGGAAACTGCGCTTCACGGCAGCGGGGCACCGTCCAAATTAACGCAAATGTCGGTAGTTACATGCCCAGGTAATTTTACGCCTCGGTTTTTAATTTAGAAACCGCGCAAATGGCTAATGCGCTAAGTCGTCCAATCACTCGGAGGGAAGAATGGCTCCCAGGCTAATCAGAGTACACACAAGGAGAGTCAATCAAAAAAATAATTGTTACGTGACCTCCCATTGGCGCGCAAATGCCTGCGCGCAAGCTGCGCGCGGGTATCCCTCGCCTGAGCAGAGAGCTTACCTCGGACGATCTGTAGCTGCTGGACCATTTCTTCCCGGTACGCCAGCTCCCGCTTCATCTGATCCTGAAAATTATCTGCGCGGAGAGCAGGAAAAGTCGGGGAGAGAGGCTAAGCAGACTTCTCCCCCGCCTCCCCAGCATGCATTGATCCCTGCGGCTGGGAGGCAGGTCCCACGGGGGAGGGCGGGGGCTGCTCAAAACGGTGCGAAGCTAGAAGCCCCCCCGTGGGACAGTTCAAGGGTATTTTAAAGTATTACTAGAGCTGGAGTCATGGACCCGGGACCCATGCAGGCGGGAGAGGAGACTCTTCGGGGATGGGGCGCGGGTACCTTTCAGACTTTGGAATTCCCGTTCTAACTTCTTCCTGAGCTCCATTTGCTCCAGCAGCAGCTTTTGCAACTCGTCTGTTTAAAAAGAGAGCCACACCCCCCCCCACCACACACACACACACTTTCCATATGGGAAGGATCACGGTTCTATTCGCACTCCGCTCCATTCAGCACAGCAGTTAATCGCTCCTGGCCAAGGGGAGGAGTGACCCAAACACCTACCGCCTCAATACAACCAGAAAGGGAGGCCCCTGAAATCGACAAGGCCGTCCTCACACGTCTACACGGCAGGGCTACAGCTACCCCGTCTACACAAGCCGCCTCTTATTTCAAATTCGTTCTCAAAATAAACGGTGCGCTCTTTTGCCATCCCGGGAGCCCACGTTATGGCATGGTTGGAGATAGCCCGTCGGGGCACGGTGTAGACGCACCACATTTCAAAATGGCCTCTTTTGAAATTTGCAATTTGCGTGTCTTATTTCGAATTTAAGGTGCTGTGTAGACGTGATTCGTTGGGGGGGGGGCTGCGCTCCTTCCAAGGGCGCACACGAGCATTGAGCACGGGCGGGCTGACAACGCCACTTGGACGCTGGGTAAGAGAAGCGAGGCTGGTTTGAGAAGCCCAACGGGGCTCATGAATCGTTCCTCGGGATTTCTGACCCCCCACCCCCACCCCCTTTGGAAGAGCTCCGCTCCTCCGGCTGGACTGGGGGGCGCTTCAAATCCCCGCACATTAAGAGACCATGCAAATGACACAAGCAGCCCCCCACCCCCCGCCCTCATGGAAAGGGAGACGAGAAGGTGGAGGCGAGTGATCACCCTGGTCCCTTTCCCGGGACGCTAGGAACCCGGCCGGGTTCGTGAGGGCTGCGGGGGAGGCGACCTTCCAGGGGTTCTCTGGCAGCTACATCGCCAGCCAGCCCGAAGGAGCAGCGAGCTGAGAGTCGATGCCGCTTTATTGGCCTCCAGGTCTCTCTCCCTGCGCGCTCGTCTCGCCCCCGGCTGTTTCCGCAGCGCCCGATTTGCGCTGAGCGCAACCCATTTATTAGGGCAGCAGCTTTCCCGGGCTGCTGATGCCCCTGAGAAACATGCGGATCTGGGAGGTGCCGCGGGACTCCTCGCTGTACCGGCTTCCCCTGGGAAACGCTGTGCGCTTCAGCCCCACGGCAGCTACGTCTACACGCCATAAGTGATCGGATGCAGAGCAGCGGAGCGTGTCCCAGTTACCCAAGGGGAGATCTCGCTCCCCGTCAGCCTCTTCCACTAGGGCAAAGCCCAAAGGGTGGGGAAGTGGCGTGTAACGCCTCATGTGCACCGCTCCCCCCTTTTTTTGGCGTTTCCCCGTAGAAGGAGTTTCACACACTTCTTGCGACGGGGCATTCCGGTACCGCACCGGTACGCTCGTGAGGCCGTGCCCTCTGCTTCCCAACCCCTGCTGCTTCCATTCCGCCCTCGTTGGCAGTTTTTAAAAATCGGTTTAATTACCCCTCCCCCGTCCTTTCATTAGAGGGCAGGGGCCATTTTACTGAAACTTTCGGTAAAGCCCCGTCGCTTCCTGCCCCCCCCCCCCCACCCCGTCGGGGCCTGAGATTCCGGGAGTCGAGAGAGCAGCTTGGGGCAGGATCCGACGCAGCTGAGAAGCGAATGGAAACCCCCTCGGCTAGAGGGAGCGCAGATCGCAGGAGCCTCACCTCTTGCCAGATTTTCTATGTCTTTTTCAACCAGTGGGGTCCCCATAAAGTCCATGCTGAGCGCCTCCTCGCCTGCGGGGCGGAAGATGTCTAGGGTTAGATCGGTCCTAGAAGCCGCCGCTCGTTTGGAGTTCAGGCGCGCACCAGGGCAGGCCTGCAAGCACCGGACTGTGGTCACAAACAGCGCTCCCCAGCACCGGCCAGGGTGTGGACTGATCGCGTGTGAAAGGCACCAGCCACACACCTTTCTCCAGCTGGGAGAGGAGCTGACCTACCCCCCTTCTGCATGAAATCCAGTTGCAAGGGAGGCTATAAATTCCTTGGAGCAGCGCCCTGATCTGAAACCGCCAGGAAGCCGGTGGCACTTGAAAGACTCACACAGGCAGCAGGATCATAGTTTGTTAGTCTTTTAAGTGCCCACCGCACTCCGTGTTACTCTGTCTCAGCAACAACCACAACGATTCCGGTGGCACTTGCAAGAGGAACGAACGAACATCCCCCCCATATAAGTCCTATAAGTGCCACCGGACGCCCTGTTGGTTTGGCTGAAATCGACCAACCCGACACCTTATCTTACCAGCTACCGATCACCCAGTGCAAGGGGGAGAGTAAATCACGAAACCAGGGGGCTAAAAATCGGATCCGTGTGTGTAAATGACCGAACCCGGAGGGGGAAGGAAAGCAAATCAAGATTATAGCGACCCAAGCCAAGTGACTTGTAGCTCACCAAGTTATTTAAATATTTATTTGCCTAAAGCTGTAGGGGACAGCTTTTTACGGGTGATTTAAGTGCGCTCCTTTCCGGGGAGAAGAATAAGTGCTGTCAAAATATCTATTATTTAGGCGGAAGATAAGGAGGGCAGGAGAGATGGACTGGCCCCTTTACACGCACTCCGATTCCCGTGTGAACGTTCGGAGACCGGGTTCCAAAACCCAAACGCCTCCTTTGGCGCAGAAGGCCGAGGCGGTGCCTGCTGCTTACCTCTGTCGGTATTTGCAGGGCTTGCATGCGAGACATTCCTTTGGTCCTGATAGGATTTGCCGGGCTCTAAATCCTCCGCTGTCGAGTGATTGTCGTCTTTATCTTGCTCTTAAAAGGCAATAAACCGATTTTCAGCCGTAAGCAACGAAAGTATGATCCTAATATATCCTTAATTACATAATTAAGGACAAAGTCCTTATGAAAGCCTTCTAATCCTAATCGCCTTGCGAGTGGAAAGTCGGTTCACCCGCTAGCCTACGGCAGAGACCAGAGGAGAGGCTGAAAATCAGACTCTAAACTCTCTCGAGTGCAAAAATAAAACGGGCAAGCCAACAGCTGCTTTGGGGTTGTCTCTGCCACGCCGTTTGCCAGGGAGAACTCACCGCAGAGAAAGGGAGAGGGGGAAATACTGTGCCCCCCAGGACACTGAAGCAAGCGTCTGCACCGAAATCAATCCGATCCAATCAACCCCAAAAGCCGTCAGATTCGGATTACGGGCATGAAAGGACCTTCCCTTAGACCCGCTAAGTTTGTTACAAGGTCCTGCCCGAGATTCGTGTCCCTTGGTGGGTTTGGGATAAGAAATATTCCCACGGGGGGGGGGTTCTCTTTTCTCTCCCCCTCCCTCTTTGCCATTTGCTAGCGCAGAGCTCGAGTTACCATTGGCCTCGGGGTTGCAAAGGTAAGCGGGCAGCGGCGCCAGGCAAGCGGGGTTCTTCAGAGCCGGCAGCGGCTCCTCTCGTTCCGGGGCGTAGGCCTTCGAGAAACAAAAGGACACATTACATGCAATTAGCCCGGGAGGGGTCCCGCCGCCAGCCCCGCGCCGCTTCGGTTCAGTCGGGGACACGGGCTGGTTTCGCTCCGGCTGCGGCCGGTGGCCACACAGGGACCCCGCAGCGCTTTACGCAGCGAGCGCTCCGGAGTAAGGGACCCCCCATCCCCATCCCCATCCAGCCGCGGCGCGCACGGGTGTTTCAAAGCCGGCTCCCTCCCCCAACAGGAAACCTTCTCGACAGGTTAATGGGTTGGGGGGTTCAGAATCCTAGAAGCGGAGCGGGCTCCGAATCAAAGCCCTGCCCTGGCGCTCACACGGGCTCCGACGGGCGCTAGCGGGCCCTGGCTAGCCCAGCAGCGGCCGTGGCGCGCTGTATTTCCTTCCCAGGCCGGCAC